GGCAATTCCCATTTCAAAAAAGGTGAAACAAAAATAAAGTCTATGGGAAAATATTAATCTGTATCTGCCCTTAAAAACCAGTTCCGGTTGACTGTCACCTCCTCCCCTTAAAACTTGAGGATGGATACAATATGGAAAAAAAGACGAGTTGGACAACACAAGATAAAGATTTCAGTGCATAGAGGTGCATGCAGTGATTTTCTATTGGTGAGCAGAGAAATGAAGACCAAATGATACACAGAACCCACCCGCACTGTTAGAAATAAATTGTCACAAATCTCCTTCCACGCCCACCTCTACTCAACCACAGGACTGACTCTTCCCGTCCCATCTCCCACTCATCTTCCCATCCCAAATCCCATCTTTCCTCTGAAGAATCCTCCCCAATCTCTCCCCTTGATCTCCTCCAGGCCTTCCCCATTTCTCCTCTTCTTAACAGACCTCCCAGTTTCCCAGCATCTGTCCTTTCTACTGTTCCCCGGCTTCTCTTTTGGCATGGTCCCCTTGTTTCCCCTCCCACTTCTTGCAATCCCTCAGTGACCACTGTTCCCATAAAGCCTGGTGCTAACTCCATCTCTCAATCCACCACCACCACAAGATCTGAGTAGCTCCCTCTCTACGTAATGCTGATGTCAGCCTCTATAGTAATAAGCACAGCAGTAAAGAGGACTCAGTAGGCTCAGTACCCTCGGGGGGCAGGGGGAAGCATTCACTGGGTCTTTCAGGGACCATTAAAAACTGTGAGGAAGTAACCCCCACTATAGCAGAGGGGCTGGAAGTACTTTCTGCCTCTTTCCCCTGTGTAGGAGAAAACAGAAGTGAGATGAATAAGCTGGGCAGTGGGGTTGCACATTCTATTCACCAGGGGAAATTAAAGGGCCTCCTGTAGAGGTGGTGTCCAGTCCGGTGCACTAGAGATGCACCCTTAATCCACCACTAAGTGAGTCAAGTAAAGTGAATGCATCAGTCACCAGGAAATATGTTGGTGGCACATTTTGTTACAAGCTCACTAAGTAATTTGTTGTGACGAGTACTCATCATTCCCTTCAGTATTTGATTCTTGTTGAAAATGCAGAATACTCATTTATTTTATATTGTGAAGCCTGGTTGGTTTCTCCCCATGCCTGTCAATCCCAACACTTGGAGGGAGAGATGCAATCAATTTTACAGTGAGTAACTACAGTATCACTGGCTTGTTGTGGTTTGAATTAAAAAAAAACAATGTACAGAAAGGAGTTTTCAATCTATTGATAAATGGATATTTGCCTTTTCCTTCTATTATTTTTTATTATACTCGACAACTCCAGAAGAAATGACAACTCTGTAAAGTTCACTAGCTGTTGGCCTTTAGCCATTTGAATATCCAACTATTTGCACTCTGGTTAGAGTTCATTGGGGCTCGGTCTACACTTAACAGTGTTGCCTGCATTGCTATGTCGGTTATGAGTGTGTGGGGGAAAATCTTGCCCCTCAACATCATAGCTATGCCAGCAAAAACTCCAGCCTTTGTGCAGTTATATCAGTGACAAAGCCTCACAGCATAGCTTATTTCATCCAGAGAACTGGTATAAGTATAGCAGTAAAGGAACAATTTTGTTGATATAAATTACATCCTCACTAGGAGGATTTGCCAGTACTGGCAAACCCTTTCTAGTGTAGACACAGATTAACATATATGGTCCAAATTAATTCCAGGTGTAATTGCATTGACTTCAGTAAGGCTACATCACATATGTCTATATTTTTAAAGCCCTTAAATGTAATTAATTTTGTTATAAACAGCACCTTTAATTATTAAAATAAATCATTTTTAAACTTCTTTCATCTTTTCATGCTATTTGTTTGCTTTCTGTATTTCAGCTCAAACAAATATAGACTAATCAGTTTTCTTATTGTCTAGCTGACTAGTTCCCTGTCAATTTCACTTTCAGGTTCTCAGGCATCAGCATAATGCTGAAATGGGTTAAATGCACTGCAAAGGGGGCACTGATTTGCTTTTGCTTTTTTTAACAAAACTTACTTTTGGAATTAAAAACATATGGAAACACTCTGATTGGTCTTAGGTTTTATACAAACATATTTGTACAAGAGGCACAGCGTATGGAGGGGACCGTGCTGCACTGTCCGAATTCCTGCAAGGGAAGGCACATACTCAAGCAGGAACTCTGCAGCTGGAGGCCATGTTGGAAATTAGATCAATGGTGTGGAAGGCTTTTTTGAAGTCTGTTTGGAGTTCAGCTAAGGTACTTCGCACCACGTTGAAGTTTGCATTTGTAACTGTACATAATTACATATTAGACCAGAAGAGGTGGCAGACAGATTTTCAAGTGCTCATCGTCCAGAGTGCTGAACTCTTTTGCAAGTCTGGCCCCAGTAAGGAGTGCTGAGCTCTTCTGATAATTCTGGAACTATCAAGGCAGGAAGGCACAAAGAGATGAAATCTAAATAAGTAAGTAGGTGCAGAAAGCACACATGGGGAGCCAGAGAATCCAGTCGGGACCACCTTTCCTCCCCAGCATCTCTCTGGACCCAGAACTGAGCTGAGATGCCTCCTCTACTCTGGCAGCACTAGGACCCAAGTGGTGCCTCTCCTCCTCTCCCCTCTTCTCCCTCCCCACGTGTCCTTAGGGAACAACTGAGAGGAACCAGCCAGAGTCTCCAGCTGGTAGGAACAGCTGCAGAAGCAGCCAATGCAGGGGCCTTCGGACATTCAGGGAATGTTCTACAGTTGAGTGGACTTCCTCTGCCTGCACTGACTGGCTGTTTGCTCCAACCCTCTCCTTCCCACTCCGTTCAACTCAGCTTCCATCTACATCAGCCCCTATTACCCTCTTGTCCCCTGCCCTGTCCCCCTTTCCTCAGGGAGCTCTCTTCCTTCATTTTTCTTTCCATTTAGCTGATCCCCTCCTAATTAAGCCCACCCCACTCCCCAAAAAAATGTGGAACTAACACATTTGCTGCCATCACATTGTTCATTATGCTTCTGTTTAACACCCCTTCCCCCATCCAGTGCTTGTCTTGTCTATTTAGACTGTAAGCTCTTTGGGGCAGGGACAGTCTGTAACTCTGGATTTGTACAGCACCTAGCACAATGGGCCCCCATTCTTGGTCAGTTCTTAGGCACTACCATAACAAACAGTTACTACTAATACCATCGCCCTGTATACCGTCCAACAGGGAAGGTAGTACCATCTACAGCACTAGTCTACTGCTGTGCCTGTGCTTCTGACCCACATCATAGTTGACCTCTCCCGATACTATGTGCCCATGCAGGTGCAGCCACAGTCTGTGATTAAATTATGCAGCAAATTTAACCTGCCAGTGCCTCTTCAAATTGCCTATTCCAGCCTACATAAAACACTCATCCTTCCCTCCCTAATGCGCCTAGAGACACGCTGCCTGTAATTTCTGTCCTCCTATCCAGTGTCCCACCAGTTCCACAGGTTGATGCACCATCAACCCATGGAACTCATTGCCAGGGGATGTGGTGAAGGCCAAAAGTATAAATGGATTAAAAAAAGAATTAGATAAGTTCATGGAGGATCAGTCCATCAACGGCTATTAGCCAAGATGGTCAGGGATGCAACCTTACATTCTGTCTGTCCCTAACTTGACTACTAGAAGCTGGGACTGGAGGGGGATGCATCACTAGATAAATTGCCCTATTCCGTTAATTCCTTCTGAAGCACCTGGCACCAGCCACCGTTGGAAGACCGGATACTGGGCTAGAAGGACCATTGCTCTGACCCAGTATGGCCAGTGTTATGTTCTGATGTACCATGTATTAAAACTATTATGACAATAGCCACAACTAGAATATAAGTGATAGGTTTACTTGTTGGCTTTAATTGCACAGACACAAAAATTTGCGTACTATTAGCTACACTCATGTCAGTGAATAATAAATCTCACACTGGAAATACCTATCATGATTCCCATTTAGATCTTGGAAATCTAAAACTTGCACCCTAAAAGTGATGTTTACTAGAGACTATGAACATTTAAGCCTGCACAGCTCTCAATGTACTGACCTTTTGATAGTAAATCAGCAATGACCAGCTTTTGCCAATCGGCATCTTGTAAGGAAATAAAAAAATAACAAGCTATCTGTCATGTATAATCCCATCAGTTTATTTATTCTGCTGCTCCTAATGTTTTTTACTTTGAACATCGGCTGGAGACATTATGGCATTTGGAGGTTAACTATTAGTTTTTAAATAACTAACCTCTTTACTAAATGACTTTAAATCTAATAAAAATAAATGATGTGGTGAACAGTAAAGTATAACCACCCCAATATCACATATCAATGACCTCATGTGGTACATTCTAGCTATTCATGGGATTTTTCCCAGCAGTTTTGTCATTTCACAAATGCAAATATAACAAACTCTGCACAGGAATCATTTCATTTACCATGGATATGCAGCCAGTTGTGGCGTGGAACATAGCAACTAATTAACAGCACACAGTTACATAAAAGTTTAGGATAGGACATGAAGAACAGCTTATCTAAATTAAGATACAGGAGCAATGTAAAATGCAATGATCCACGGTGAGATTTGGCCGGATACCCCACCACCAAAAAGTGCCACGAGTTCTTTAACAGCCACTGTAATCAGGATCTTTGTTTTACATCTCTTTCAAAAGACAGCATTTTCACATTGGATCAAAGTATAATTAAGGAATAGAATAAAGCAAAGAAGAAACCTTGACTCTTTCTTTGAAAGCGATCTGTTCTGAGAATTGGTAGGTTTGTGAATATCTAGGAGGTTGAATAGATCTCAGAAAGAGACTTACATTTGACATAGCTAAAATCTTGCTTTATTTTTTAAAATGAATCAGTCAAAACTTGGCTTTGGACTGTCCGAGTTACCCGCGCTTTCCCAAAGAAACTCTACCATCCACCCATCACCGTCATATTTCCATGGCTAAGTCAATTGGGTGCAGTAATACTTAGCCTTTTAAAGAAATAGCATCCTGTAATATTAAAGACTTACCACATCCATAATCTGCATGAGGCTAAGAGTGAAGTAGACAGTGAGCGGCTGGGAATCATTGGCCACAGGCCTCTCCAGAGGATTGTAATTCTTCAGCAACTCCTTATAGAGCTTCCTCTGGAACTCTCCTTGCAGGGACACTTTAAACAAGTAAATTGTTTGAATAAGTAAATTGATAAATACTTAGGAATCTACTGCCAGCATCATGATGTAAAAGAATGCAGCGCTCAGAAATGCTTTCCACTCAGAATCTGCTCCTATTAGCCAAATCAGCTATTATGTTAGCTTTATTTTCTACTTCCTCCTTCCAAGAAATGCTACCATAATTCATGTATTACATCTATTCCATTAATTACCATAGCAAACTCTTATTCCAAAACTGCTACCACTCACCTCTTCTCTTCCCTGACTTAGTAGGTAGAACTTCTGGTTGATGTGTCTCACCTTTCAGAATCTGCCACTCTGGCCAGTTCCCCTCTTTAGCCAGGGAGAGCAATTTCCAAATGTTAAGATCAATGTGTCAACATTTGCATCCTTTGTATCAGGGAGGAGAACTAGTGAGATGTAGCAGTTTTTAATGGATGAAATACACTGCTCATAATTTGATAGTTGCTGTAGCATAGCTATAACTAGAAAAACAGAAGAGTGTGATATACCTGAAAAGGACAAGACAAAGACAGAATAACTGGAGGTTACAAGGACAACCAAACTACCCATATCTTGGATTGTAAACTCTCTGGGGCAGGGATAGTCTTCTTGCCCTGTGCTTGAACAGCACCTAGCACAATGGGGTCCTGGTCCATGACTAGGATTCCGAGGCATTACAGTAATACAAATACTAAATCACACCACTGGGGAAATTTTATCATCTTTGTGCACCTCAAAGCTCCATATCATTCTGTCATTTACTTTTGGTGAGAGAGAAATCATACCCCTGGGGTGGAGGGATGGAACAGCAAATACAGGAGAGAATTAGAGGACTGTGTACAGGTGGAAATCCATATCACTGTAGGAATCAGCCCTTTTTGTGTCTGACCTGTGTGTCTGTCCCCATCCCAAAGCAATGTCATCTGTTTCCCGCCCCACACCTTCACCCCAGCTTATTTCCTGATCACCAGCCCTGTGTTCCCCACACAAAGGAAGCCAGGGTCCTTACCCTGAGGAGCTGTCTAAAAGCCAGGGGTATGTTCCCCCCCCCTAATCTTTTAGCCCCTACCCCTGCCAAGGGGGTAAAAACTATTGAGGCTGATCCCAGACAGTGAACTGGGCTAGGGAACAGTTTTCACTCCACTGATCTGAGCACCAATGCAACAGAGAGGACAATATGGGGGTGGGCGTCAGTCCACCCACCACTGCAGAAGAGTCCTGCAGAAGACTCTCCAAAAGGATTTAAAGGCAATTGCCTTTCTTCCTAACCCACATGGGTATCCCCCTTACATGCCAGCACATTAGGGATCACATCCCCTCTTCTCAGCTTGCCAAACATTGCCCACAGCTACCTGTTGGGCTAGGGGCAGTTTGCAGAGCATCTGCACAGTGTCCTCATCACCAAGGCTACACCTGATGACTAAGAACCAGGAGAGTAAACTCCAGCCCGAGCCCTGTGGAGAGAAGGGGCTTAGCAAAGGATGCGTGGGCAAGCAGAGCCCTCAGATACACAGCCACAAGGGCAGAAAGGGAAAGAGGAGCACAAAAGTCCACTCACCATGTACGAGCCCCACAGCCACGATCAGCCAGACAGTCAGCTCCCGGAGTCCCATCCCAAGAGCCAGCCTCGCTGGGGAAGTGCAGCGGCTGCAGAGCCCCAAACCCAGAAGCAAAGTTAAACTCGAGCCCCAAATCAGCCAGGCAGCTGCCGAGAACAGGCACTCGGAGCGGGATAAAGAACGGGAAAGAGACGCAGAGCAGAGACTGGAAGGCGAGTGCTTGGTGGCACACAGGGCTGAGGGGTTCTGGGGGACCGGGTGTCAGGAACCGGGCTCCAGCTCCTCTTCCTGGTCCCAGCTCCCTTCCTGGGCTGGCCCCGGATCTCTCCTTGAGATGCTGCCAGCTCAGGCACAGCACAGGAATGCTAATGACCGCCCCTCTCCCTCCACCTCCTCCTCCACGTGATGGATTTCCCTACTTTCCTTAATCCCTCTAGACCCACAGGCAGGGCAGAGGGGAGGCAGAGACGTTTTCGCTGCTGCAGCAGCAGGAGAAATGCAGCCCGTTCAACAGAGCAGCCCTAGCTTTATAGGGCTGTGCGTGTGAGCTAAGAGCGGATTTCACTCTCCACCCCTTCCCTCCCTACTCAGCCCTGTGACAGTCACTCAGGCACAACTCCCCTCGGGCCCCATCCCACTGCCCGTCTCTGCAGTTCACTCCAAGAGGGGCACTTCACTACCGCAGGATCCAGCTACTCTTGCTCACGTTTTAACAACCAAGCTGAGCTGGAGACTTCTCCTTTGGGGTGCGAAGCACCGAGGAGGCAGGAGCTCTGGCTCATCCCTGCCTGCAGAGACCCTTCTCTCTGCACAGCAGCCAGGCCCTGGGGCGGCCACAAATCCAGCAATTCCTAGTAAATGGAGCTGACTCCGCAGTATGGGGGCTCCTCTCCTGGGACAAATAAGGGCAAAGCAAAACTTGTGCCAAACTTGCATTTATTATAAGGCAGGAATATACATTCTGGTGGTCCCTCAAGTGAGAGCACCTTATTGGAACCTGATTAGCTTTAAGTGCAATTAAAGGTCCAATCACTGGAAAACTGAGAATAAGAGCCCCCATTCCTACCTCACTCAACCCCCTGCACGCTGGTCTTCAGCAACATAGCACCTGATTCTCTGGTGTGGTGCAGCAGCCAGCATGAATTAGTCCTAAACCCAACTTAACTGGCCCCAGGAAGGATAACCCCATATAAGATACTCTGCTGGTGCAGAGGTGGCTTTATGCCTCTCTCACTCCAGGCTGCTGGGGTAGCAAGGAAAAAGAGAGTGTGGCTGGGACCCCCATGCCATACTGCTCCTCACCGGTGCCTTCGGCTCCAGGGGCCATTGCAGACTGGCCGTGGCATGAACTTGCTGCTCTAACCTGACAAAGAAGGGCACTGGTCTATCCATAGCTGCAGCAGGATAGAGGACCACAGAAGAGAGCTATAAGTCACCTTTGCCCCCCTCCCCAACCCCGACTTGCACTGTGTGCACTGCAGCCATAGCCAAGGATCTGACCCCAGTCACATTTGTTTTGGGGGGGCAGGTGGACTCAGATAACGTTGTATATGCATGAACCATTTTGTGATCTTTAGATCCCAGCTGATGCACAGAGCTGGGAGCTCAGGTGTGAGATGGTTATTTTTCCAGTGTCTAGAATACCACGTAATTTAAAAAGAGTTGCAGGAGATATCCATGGCCCCTGATTTATTGATTATGCTAAACACATTTTTTAAAGGACACCAGAAAGTCAGCCATATCCAATGATCTGGGACACAGCCCACAGCCTCAAACCCTCGCCATGCTACGCACCCAATGAGATTCGGGTCTGTTTGCTCTTACACTGAAGCAACAAAAATATTAGTCGTCTGAGGTCTGGTTTCCTTTCCTTCAAAAAAAAATTGTCTTTACATGCAATTAATATTTTTATGCTCTTCCTTAAGAGTTTCAGTCCTCCTGGGTGCCAAACGCTGGATGTTCAGCATCCTTCACATCAATGGACTTCAACAGGCATTGAAGCCACTCAGCAGGATCAGGCTTCTAAAGCTGTTCAGGAGCATATTCAAATAGTGGATTACTTTATACCCAATAGTGTTTCTATATTTGCTTGGCTTTCAACCAAAGGATACTGAAGCACTTTAACAAACCTAAATTTACACACAAACCCCGTACAGGGATCACTTAATCAACCAGTGAAATGTAATCATAACTCTGACAAGCCAGTGGTTAACAGCCACCCTTCTCCCCCGCCCCCATCCCCCCGCCATACACACCCTTGCTTAAACCTTCTGTGAAGCTCAGATTTGCAAAGAGACATCTTCATTTTGTTGGAGAGCTTTACGAATTGCTAATTCGTAGATCAGCATCTGTGGGGCATTTCACAGTTCACTAAACCGTAACTTATAGTAAAAGCACATTTCCAGGGAAACAAACATTTAGGCTGCTGCCTTAAAACCATAAATCCTAAGTAATCAGTGCTTAGGAGAAAAAACTGTGCATTTGCCACAACTCTGTACTTTTGATTGGAACTGGCTAGAAATAGTCAAAATACAAATTTATTAATAGGGCTTTTAATGTACCTATTTTGCCAGAAACTTTCACTTAGCCTGAAATCCAGAGCCCAAGTGCAGAACCTGAGTAAATGGGTGAGGCTGGGGGGAGCTTGGGCATATGTAGATGAATTTTTTCTCCTAGCAGCAGAATACACAGTGGATCCCTGAAGTTCACAGATATACTGACTCTGCCTCTACCTCCTCAAGCTCTCACTCTCCCTCAGCTTAAGCACACATCCCTAGTCCCTACACAAACACAGATACTGATGTGGAGGAGTGCCACCATGACGTTTAGGTCTGGTCTACATACTGTTTTGTACCAATTCAATTATTTCAGTTAGGGACTTGTTTTCCTATTGAAATAATTAACTCTGTACAATCCCTCCTGTGGCTGTAGCTATACTGTTACACTTTATTCCCCTTACCTTATAAGAAGAAACTATACTAATTTAACTGTGTGTGCAGTAGAGGGGCTGTATCACTAACTATATGTGGTGCAATATGTGCGTAGACAGGTCCTCAATCCCACAGTATGTAGAAAGATGCAGAGTCTCTCATGCATAGCCTCTTCTCTTCCTGGCCCCCTTGCACGCAGCACAGCCAGGGTGTTTCAGTTGCACTTGGGCCTTTCTGTAGCCACATTAAGGGAGCCAGTGAATTTCACTCCTAGGGATTGACTGAATCCTGTTAGGGCAGTAAAGTACAAACTGCAACTCCTTGCACTAGCAGATGCCAGTGCATTTCAAACCAAGGATTCAGTCTCAGGGAGGGTGGCAATGTTTGCACTACCCTTGCTCATGATGTGTACTACCTTGTAGTTGAGACTCCACTGATCTCCACCAGCAGGCATTGCATGTGAATCACACTCCCACTGGCTATCCCTGGCCACATGTTAGGTTGTGCTGGCTTGCTGCGTACTCCCCTCTTCAACACCATAATGCAAGATTTAATGGTGTAAATCAACCCTCCTCCATGCAGACTTTCTGTGGTCAGGAGCTCTATGACATGGGTTATACTGTGCAATGTCAGATGGAAAATTAACAGCAGAGCGGGGGTGGGGGTGTCAGTGACTGAGCTGGTGACTGGTTGGAGTGTAGGATCCATTTCTGATTAATTTTAGTTGTTAAAATGGCTTTAGGTAAGTTTAACCACCCCATAAATAGCTGTCACACTGTATTTCTGAGAAACATCAAGGTTTATTTCATGACAAACACATGACTGAATAGAAAAGATCTGATGCAATTCTAATATACAAAATTTGGAAAATCATCATGACACATGCAACATTTATTATGTATTTTAAAATATCTGACTGTGTTTCCCATTTACAATTTTAAAAGCATTTTAAGTCAATAAGTGGGTTGTTACTTTCGGTTCAAATCCCTGACCTCAGATTCTGTGCTTTTGCTACAATAGTTTAATGTCCTGGGTAACTGCATCGGAGCAGATATTTGCTATTGTTTTGCTTATCTGTGATAGACCACAGGGAGTGTTCATCAAATAATATAGAAAACAGCAGTTTATCAGTCAGTGTTAGTTTTGAACTCTGAAGGGCCACTTACCCCAAACCCTAATTAGCTAAGATACTCACCTAAGTTACCTATCATATCATCTGTTTAGTTATCTCTAAAGTAGGGTGACCAGACAGCAAGTGTGAAAAATCGGGACAGGGGGTGGGGCGTAATAGGATCCTATATAAGAAAAAGACCCCAAAATCGGGACTGTCCCTATAAAATCGGGACATCTGGTCACCCTATCTCTAAAGGGCCTGTCACTTGGTACCTAGGTGCCTGCATTGGACCAGGAACTAAAAGCAAACAGCTAAGTGTGCACAGCCTGAGCAGGGCAGAACATTTCTCCTTTTTCACATACAAGGTGGTGTATTTCCTGCAGTCTCTTTGGGACACTGGCCAATGAGATGCAAGCCGAGGCAATAGAAAAGCCAGGTCGTTTGAAATCACACAGTACCCAAGGCGTGTCCGGTCATCAAGACCAATCCCCCGCCCCGGGGATATACTTTTCTGACAGGGTAACGGCCTCAGCGGCTTCCTTTTAAATACTGAGGCTGTGACTGGAATCAGATCTCGGCCGCACTGAGGAGCTGGGAATCAGGGACAAACCTGCGGCTGACCGCGGCTTCACTGCAGCCAGAGCTCGGTAGCATTTCTCCTCCCCCATCACCCCTTTGCAATCCGCCCTCGCAGCGCCCGGCTCCAGAGGCTGCCCGCGCCCGCTCTGGTTCTGCCACGAGCCGCCTGCGCACCGGTCCGGGGACCGCGTCCGCAGCTCAGCGCTGCCCTCTGCTGGCGGGCTGCGCTCCCGCCGCTCTGACCCTTCCCGCGCCTCCGCAACTTGAGGGCGCGGAGCCGGCCCGCGAAGGGAGGGGCTCGGCAGCCCCGGGGCAGAGGCTGCGCTGCAGCTTTCCACGTGCCTGCGCACCGGGCTGTGCAGAGCAGGTCCTGGGCCCCCTGCGCTGCGTGACTCGGGGCAGTAGCCTCAGGCTGCCCCTGCAAGTGAGGGCGGGACGCGGGAGACCCATGCTGTTCCCCGCAGTCTGAAATGGGGGCAGGACAGTTACACTCAGGCCTGGGTGCACCCAAAGGTCCCTTCGCCCCGGGACTGTCAGCACACACAGGACGGAGCCAAGAGCAGCTTTGTCACAGCGCAATCAAGCGTCTCATGCTGTGCCCTTTATAGACTCACAGAACCACTTAGAGCAGTGGTTCTCAAACGCTTGTACTGGTGACCCCTTTCACATAGCCAGCCTCTGAGTGAGACCCCCCTATAAATCAATAAACGCTTTTTAATATTTTTAACATCATTATAAATGCTGGCGGCAAAGCGGGGTTTGGGGTGGAGACTGGCAGTTCACAACCCCCCATGTAATAACCTCGTGACCCCCTGAGGGGTCCTGACCCCCAGTTTGAGAACCCCTGATTTAGAGGGACCCACTGGTCACCTAGTCTAAGGTGCAGGATTACAGCCCAGCAGTTTGGGTGATCTCCTCG